CTCGGACGGAAGAGCAGCACTCACATGTTCAACGTGTGAGCGGAGAACGTCCGTCGCGCGTGTCCGTCGAAAGTAGGTCACCCCACCCACTTCGCGCGGCGCATCACACTGAGGTCTCGAGATGACATTACGGTACCACCAAGTGTCATTGCATTCAAATGATTTGCATTTGTCTGTGTTATCTTCTTCTTGAACTGACTGCCGTGGACCAAAGCGAGCAAAGCGTATGCCCCAGCGACAATTGCGACGTCTGTCAAATATCGCGAGCCGACTCGCCGCGTGTGACGGCTGCGGCGTGACCTAGTTTCGACGGACACGCGCAACGAAGCGCACTCGTGTTGAGCCGGTCGGCCAATATCAGCGCTGAACCATTAAGCTGAAAGCTTCACATGTTAGGACTTGTTTTGACATGATCTTTTGTTAATTGCTGTTTTTATGGCTGCGGCACGCGGAGTGACGGTACAGAGCGGAAGGCATCAAAGAGCATCCTCCGAATTCTACAGCGGAAGGCATCAAAAGGCATCCTCCGAATTCTACAGAATTCCTGTAGACAATATATTTTACTTCACGGCATAACCTCATTTGAATGCCCAAACTTTCACCCTTTCATGAAAAAGGGGCTCTGGGCAAAGATACGTGGCGGTTCTCGGGCAGCTAGGGGGCTCTGTAGCACCACTCCAGTGCTGCAGAGCCCCCTAGCTGCCCGAAAACCGCCACGTATCCTTATCCACGTTGGAAAAGCGTTGCGAAAGTCTCACAAGAATGGCGATCAATTGACAAAACTTCAGTCTCGGACGGGACTCGAACTCATACTTATGCTTTCCGGGCACCGTGCCCTGACAATTACACTACCGAAACCCCGCTGACCCAAAAAATCCACCAAGATATATTACTATGCTTTCCTCTAGGTACAACCACCTCCCTCTGTTGTGAGGTTTCCAATGTCACTATTATATAATTAGGGTGTTTAGAGGACGGACAGGTAGGAGACAAACTAACCAACCGACAAATTAACAGATAAATCGACACGTAACTTGAGTGTCTTATACATACGCGTATATCAATCGATGAAATGAGATCGCCATGTTTACTGTGTGAAGCATTCAATCAAAGTTTTTGTCGCTCTCTTAAAACTACCTTAGGGTCAGGATGCTGTATGCCCAGGACAACAGATAAAAATTTCAAGGAGAGGCTTCACATGAGAACTCGCTTACCTGGCAGCATCTTTTGCAGATCAGCCGGTTCGAAAGCAGATAACAGGGAGCAAGCGGTAGGAAAATCAAAGTAGGATGAAGCCTTTGCTCTAGGAATAATTCATAGAAAGTTTCAACTGGAGAGAAGCAGAAGATTGTCAACCAAGAACATGCGAGAACGCTGCAACGTCAAGTTGCATTTGAAAATGCGCGCGAGGAAAAGTAGATACAACGGTAATTGCAGTTTGAAGGAAGGCAGGCAGGTAGACAATGACAATTGAAGAGATTTCCCATGGGCAGAGCGAAAGTGGGAAGTCGGGGAGAAGTTTCGCCACCCATAGCATCCTCTTCAAGATAGGGACGATAGTAGTGTTCCTCCATCTGTTATTCCTCCTTTAGTGGCCGGTGTTTGGGAAGTGGTTGAGCCCCTGATCCAGTGCCCAAAGTGCGTCTTCCATACCTCGATTGAACCTCTATCCAGATCAGTTGCCTTCCCAATTTTTGCGTTTCACTGCTCGACGAACTTTTTCCTATGGCGGAGCTAACCGTCACCGTCAGTTTCGCCATGAGCTGTGATCACGGTGCGCTTTCTCGTTCAAGAGCCTGACTAGGTATTTTTACATCTGAACCCAACCTCACCGGACTAAATCGGAACTGCATCTCACATTACTATAATGAAGTGAGTGGCCGTGTGGCCAGGCTGTAGACGAAATTCCCTACTTCTCGACAGTGCACCTCGAGCAAGGATTCCATTCCAGTATTCTTTGTTCTCGTTGTAGCTGCCTCAACAAGACTCCTGCAACTTTGCAAGCAGCTTCTGCTTCTTCTGCTAGCTCTTATATGGGCAGCGCATGGAGGCATCTTTTTCATCGTTCGAGTGCCACGCTTCTATATTCCCTTGGAATTCATTTCGAACTCCCCAGAGTTTACCTAGCACATCGTAGGATGAAATACACGCTGACACTTCGGGATCTGGGAGACCAGCATCCAGAATCGTCCGTTTACAATCATGTTTTTTGGCTTGGTGCAGCTTTGCCCACCTAGTTCTCAGCTACGCTTTCGTCCTTGATTTTTTGAGAAGCGAGAAGCTCAATGAATATGTCTGCAAGGCCTGCTAAGCCAGTTCTCTTCATAAGGTACTTTACATCTTTTACAGATTTGATGGAAACGTATTATAAAAAAAATTATATGAGACTGTTTAAGTACTTCTTTCTTGTGTCTATCATCGCATGACTGCATAAATAGTTTACTGGTCTTGTTGACACTGAAGACAGAGACTTTTGCGGAGTACTGCTATGACCACACCAATTCGTTTTGTGTCTTCTCCCTTGTACTAGAACATGACACTGTCTCCAATTTCCCTAACTTTAGCTCCTTTCCTGTTGTCTTTTGAAGGCAAAGGGCTTGAATACGCTACGCTTTATTAGATCAGCAACCTTTCGGGATACCCCAGTAAGCTAACCCATTTTCAGAGTCAGAGGTCGGGCTGACTTCGTCAGCCGAGGTGGCTCAGTCCTCGGTAAACCTAGCCTACTCGCCACGCAACTCGAGCATCGGTCCTGTTCGCCACTAGCCAGTGACGTGCTAGCTTTGATTTCTTTAGAGACTTTGAACATTTTTGTTATAAAAGCATATCTTTATCGGCAGGCGTTTTGTCCTTTTGGCGGCTATTCCTCTTTATATTTTCAATTCTTCCTAGTCTGCAGAATGTAGGATTTTTCGAATGTGGATTCTGTGCTCCTCCCATTCTATGGTCCACCTCGTTCTCCATGGAATTGCCTCATCGTCATCTGCTACCATTTACGGTTTTTCCAATCTTCACAACATTTTCAAATACGGGGAGGTTCCGTGGATACCAGCTTAGCTCACTTTGAGGTTCGTCACAGCCCCACGATCATTGACTTCTCTCATTTGCTGACCTCTGCCCAATTTACACCTAGGAATGCATTTCTATCTGGTTGCTGATCTTTGATCTCTGTTCCGCCTTCTTCGGTTACCCAACTTGAACAAATGGTTGTGCTGCGAACATTTGCCCTAACTCTTGTTGCTGGTCTCTGCTCACTTTTTCAGAGACTATTGTTTTTAAATAGGAACATAGGCGTTTGATTCAAGCCCACTTGCTTCACTGTCCCCCCCCCCCTTTAATTCATATTCATTTCTTCACCGGCCTCTGATCTTTTTGTTTGCGGTCTCAAGAACGTTCTGAACAGTTCTGAAGATTTTTAATCTATGCCTGTCACCTTTGGCTCCCATTTCATTTACCATGAAAACTTGGCCCTTCTGCATTTACTTACCTCTACTCGTTTTTTCCATTCTCCGAACACTTTCGAACTAGAAAATAGATTTGTAACCTGAACTTTGCCCTTTTCGGGGAGCGTCTGACCTAGTTGTATTTTCAACATTTTCTAGCATCTATTTAGTTTGTTCCCTATCTTCTAAGTTTATTGCTCAGTTCGCGTCGGGTTTTCCACACCACTATCCATGTCAAATTATGCGGACGTACAGAAAAACATTCAATACGGCAGCTCGTCAAGAAACCACCACTCCAAGTTCCTACATCATATATGTTTATACAGATAATGTATCCTTCCACCAACAATCTGGAGACCTCCACCTTTGCTTTATATCCACGAAAATAGGTGAACATTGACGGCTTCGGTTGACAAGCGGGTTACTTTCCTATGGGAAAATCGCTGAATTAGTAGGCGATGAAAAAAAGATTCAAACTTTCATGGATTGTCATTGTAATGGTCAAGATCAAGAGCAACAGATGAATCGTAGCAGAACTGTAGTCATAAATGTGAAAGTAGTACTTATTTATCCATTCAAATGTACTCAATGATGAAGAAGCCATACATACAATACAGAAGAAGAAACTCTTAGGCGATCGTCCTTCGTAGAAAAAACAGAAATGATTGAGAAAGGAAGGAATGAAGCTGAAGATAAATGCTCAACTGAATAGGGAAACACGCCTCAGCTGCGGACAGGGGTAATGGAGAAAGAAATTGAGAGGAAGATGCAAGAAGACATTGTGCATCATTTGCATTGCTCTGCTTAGGCCGAGCTATCCTCCTAGGGAGCTATATGTCTGATTTATTGCGTTCGCGCAGGTACCAAAACTATCTTCATTCTCTGGGGTTATCAAAATTCTAGGAGGGATCAACTTAAGCCGTGTAGCCCGATTGTTTAGGTTTATACAACAAACACGGAATCCCATGTCTCATTGTCTGAGTACTCCGAAGAATTGAGTTGCCGATTTGTTCTCAGTATAAAACATAACATTGAATTTCCTTCTGAAGGGTTGAGAGAAATAGTCGGAAAATGGCTATATGTATATTTGTTGTTTTCAAATGTGCCTTTCTTCGAAGAATGAACAACATATTTCCGCTGAGTAAACAGAGAGCTGAGAGAGAAAAATAAAAAGTTGGGGCTCAGAATAAGATGCATCGATTTGAACATAATATTGAGTTGTTATAGGCGGAACCTTTTTCGGGGTGCCTTTTCTTAGAAAGCATGGGAGAAATACGATCGTTTGAGTGTTCCGTGCGTGTTGTTCACTGAAAAGTTCCCGCTCTTGCAGTTGCTCACCGCCACTCAGATCCTAGCTAAACTTTAATTAAGTTTTTCTGAAGAAGAGTACATTAAGACTTCTCCGGATTTCGTCATTCCTCAGTCTCCGCCTTCTTACAGCCGGCTTGAATCGCGCTGTTCCCAATCGTTCTTGTGTGCGTGTCCAAGTGGTAGCTAATTCATCAATTGACATGGTGCTGTGACGGCAGTGTCAGGTGGTCGAAGCAAAATTTCGCTATGCACCCTCCATGCCTTCTTCAAGTATTATTACTAATTCTTTATTGTTCTCATCAATTTGTGGCGGCGTTTTCATGTCCAGAACCGATTGGAACTCGTCCAAAGTATTGCCGTAAAGAGTGCGTCACGGACGACGACTGTAAAAAGCATAAACGCTGTATGTGTGATGGCGAATGCGGGCTGAGCTGCGTGAATCCAGGTGCTCTCATTCTGCCACTGATCTTCTCAAAGATTCGACAAATCGATTGATTTCAGCATCTACATGTCATCCACTCGCAGAGATCGACAATGGATATATTCGAACGGCTGGCGAGTTGAGGTGAAGTCGTTAATGATGGCTGTCGTTTGGGAAATCGTTCCCACTGAATACTTTTCTTTTCATTTTACAAATAATGACGTAAGATTTGTGGATTGTGGGTGGCATTTTGCTAGATTTCCACCGCAGATTGCCTTTTCTCTTACCTTCTCTGACAGCTATTATTCCACTTGGTTTTATTAATAGTGCAGGGTTATTCTTCATTGATTCCCTCATATGATTATGGAGTGCTGACTGAGTATCCATACTTTTCCTGTGCCGGAAAAATTTTCAAATCGGAAACCGCTCTAACTGTATTTTCGTTCCCTGTTTTTAGGGCCTCCTTGAAGAGCTACTTCTATAAGATGGGCTTTTGAACATAACCTTGGAGAACACTTCTAGGGAAAACACCATGAAACACAACCATGAACAGCATGAAAAAAGGTGATATTATGCTTGCGACATCTGGATGTTCCATCAAGACTCCTTCAAAGTGCGGCGTACACGAGCCGTTTACCACGAAAGTACATCCTCTTTTGAAATCAGTATCAGTTCAAAACATGAAACCCTAAGCAATCGTAATTTCCTTAACATATATCTAAGGGATTTCCTGTCCAGTGGCTAAGATATTATCACTGGTTTGTGCTTTATGTGTCAAATTGTGATTGCCATGCGCCTATCAAAGTCGTAGCTTTTAAGAAGAGTCATTGAGCTTCAATTATTTGTACCATGTCCTACGTAAGGTTGCTCTGATCTGCGCCTACCAAGGAGGAGCATGGTCGTTTATGAAGTTTCGAGAGACATATGACAACCTTCTAAGCGGCAGTAGCCGTCAAGACAGAGAACTTTTTTCGCTTCCTAAGCTTTTCTTTAACGCTGCCCTTCGTTCTAGAATTGGTAAATCACATTGCGATAGTTTTCCAAAGTTTCTGAATCGCTGCTTATTCTAGATTCGGGTCTAACGCCGAGTATGCCTGCAATAAAGGTTTTGTGCTCATCGGTTCTTCTCAGCGGCGATGTCAAGGCAATCGTGAATGGAGTGGAGCTCAGCCTACATGCCGACTGCAGAGTAAGAAAAGTTTGAGCAATTTTGCAGAGGTTCAGAATAACTGACCATCGCCAGAGGTATGGTCATCTTTGGAAGGTATCCAAGAGAAATGTCTAGGCTGGCATTAATTTGAGAAATTGTCCCACTGACATAAGTAGGCTCTGTTAGCGACTTTGGTTCTTTGAGGCGGGATCGAACGGTTTGGTGGTTTGATGGTCTCTGTAACACCCAGATCTTTCGTGGTAACCTTCAGTGCAAAATATAGCGCTAGCTATCTGAAAAGTGATTTTTATATTTACAGTAAGATGTGGCCCTCCACCGGAGATACCATACGCAGTTCACGATGGCTCGTCCTTCTCAGGTGAATACGATCTGGAAGCTGAAGTCGCCTACTCGTGCGTACCAGGATATCATAAGTTCTCCGCGAAGGTACGGTTTATGATGGTCCGAATTTTTGGCCTTCGATTACCTAGCCGACGTGTGAGATGCATGACTCAGTCAGTGAACTGTTAGGCTAGCTAATTCCACATTGGTAGATCCTGTTTTCGAAATAGGTGCCAAAAATGGACAGTTGATTGGCTTCGACCGTTAAGTAGAATTCACTCAGTCACTACTAATTTTGCAACATCTGGAGAGATTGATCTCAATAATCAATGGTTTTGCAGGGTCTCGCTTTAGCGAAATGCCTGTTGAACCGAAAAAATGTGGCTCAATGGTTTGGGCCGGATTTAAAATGCAAAGGTGAGGTGTATGTTTCTCTTACATTTCGAGCTTTATAGTTATAATAGTGCACTGCCGAGACCTTTCGGTTAAATTTCAACTGAAAAAACCGCATGTACTAGTAAATAAGCGGCGGTCTTACTGGGAGTATTCCCATCAGTTGGTGTACAGGGTGGGCCAAAATTATGATTGCAGCGAGCGCTGACGCTCATAACAAATTTTCTCTGAGGTCATAGCAATTCGTTCGCTTTCTTCTATTTCACAAGGTAGATTGCATTATCCCCTTCCTGATGATACTAAACTTTTGGTTGATTTTGAAAATAATGTACGCGTAATTACCCCGTGAATAAATGGTCACTTTGCATTTGCAAGCACGTTTGGCACGGTGCATTTACAGACGACTCAGCTTGACAAGGCAGGGGGTACATTCGATTGTAAGACGCTCTCGAGAGTTGGGAACAATTGCAGATAGGAGTGGTAATCCTAAGACTCCTGCGGCTATATTTAGTGGGAGTTTTAATGAAACAGGGCGAAGGTCT